GCTGGAGCAGCCGTGTGGAGACCCCTGCTAGTGCTGAGATGCTTATACATTCACTGACTCAGTTTTCCTCCTGCAGTCGGCATCATTGCCTCTGTTTTGTGAGGTGGGCTTTGCCACTAGGGCTCTGTACTTCTAATAGTTGATGATATATTGGATATTCTTTGACAACTCAGTAATTCAAAGGCATCACTACTTCAGTCTTCCATATTAATTGCTCATCTTACACATGCATAGGAGGCAACTGAAAATACCCTGGCTTGGGTCAGGTGCACTTGAGACCTCAAGGTGCCATCTTTGTTCCTCGACACTTTAAAGAGGCTTTGGCAGCAGATATGCCCAATGGATTAGGTCGTTTGGTTTCTTGAGTCATTTAATTGCTCCCATAGCACTGATTATGGATTCAAGTAAAATGAGAGCCTTGACAGCTTTGGTCTTTTCTCTGTTGATCCTAATGCCATCTGTTGGCCCAGTTGTGGAGATACTGTTTTCTCTACATTGAGTTATAATCCATACTAAAGCTTTTGCTCATCATCCGTGCATGCATTTGCATTTTGCAGGTTTTTCCTGAACCTCTAGTCCTGATGTCTGGACATTCGTCCTATAGTCCAGCTTCTTGGATTATTTGATCAGCATACAGATTTGGTGAAAAGGACACAACTATGACACAAAGCGCTCCTAATGTAAATCATTCACTATCCCCATCAACAACTGACTCTTGGTTTTCATGAGCACAATGTAATGGTCTAGAATTCCCATTGTTTACAATGTGTTATCCATTATTTGTTGTAATCCATATTGTCCAGTGGCTTTGAATAGTCAGTAAAACACAAGCATCTTTCTGGTATTCTCTGCTTTCAGCTAAGATCTTTCTGATATCAACAGTGATAGCCCTCATTCCACATTTTATTCAGAACCTTGCTTGAATTTCTGGCAGTTCCCTATTGGTATACCGTTGGCAACTGTTTTTTGGTTTTCTTAAGCAAAATTTTACTTGCATGTGACATTAATAATATTGTTTGATAATTTCCACATTCTCTTAGATCATTGTAATGGGCACACATACAGATTTCATCTGGTCACTAGGCCAAGTAGCTCTCTTCCAAGTTTCCTGGCATAGATTACTGTTTCCAGCATCACATTTGATTTTTGAAATATCTTGGTATTTCATCAATTCTTGGAAACTTGTTTTTCACCAATCCTTTTGAATGCAACTTGGACGTTTTCATTCACTACTATTGGTTCTTAATCATGTCCGTTCTAGAAGTTATTGAATGTCAGTCGGTTCTTTTTGGTGCTATGACTGTGATCTTTTGTTTTCCAAACAGTGCCATTTTAGTTTTGCAGGAGTAGGGTGACATCTCATTGTAGCTTTGATTTACATATTTCTAGTAACTCATGAAATTCCAGTGGTGTGGTTAAATGCTCAACTTTTTTTTTTAACATTTTATTGAGGGCTCTTGCCAGCTCTATAACAATCCATACATCAGTTGTATCAAGCACATTTGTACATATGTTGCCATCATTATTTTCCAGACATTTGTTTTCTACTGAGCCCTTGTTATCAGATTCTCTCCCCCCGCTCCCCATCTCCCCCTCTTCTATCTTGTGTCATTCAGTAAGCTGCCCATAGTATTTTTCAGTGTTGCTGCTCAAGGCTCCAGTTTTTCTTTAGTTCTTTCAATTTGAGAGAGACCGCGTGTGCTCTTCCCTTTGAACACTTTATTATAATGCTTCCTTTTCTTTAGCCACTCTTCCATGTCTTCCAGATTTTTATTTATGTATTTATTTTACTTCGTCATGCATTTCAGTAAAAAAAATATTGAAGACTTTACTGCCATTGAGTCCACTCCAGTTCTTAGGACCCCATAGCACAGGATAGAACAGGCAGCCCACTACATTGCCGTCTATCTATTAGGAGACAAAGGCTATTTCAACTTAACCTGCTCAATGAAAGAAATGCCTCTGTCCCATTAAAATTGAGGTTCCAAATTTTTAAAGTTGTATAATGATACAGTGATGTACTTAGAGCTTTATAGTTAACAGCTCAATTCGTAGGCTCCTTTTACCAACTTTGTGATTGTTGGCAAGTAACAACCTATAGTTGCTCTTAGGTGAAATTGAGATAATTATACATATTTTGTGGGACTGTTCCTAGAATAGTACCTCACACATTGGTTATTTGTATATAAGGCAGATAAAGAAAAGTAATGGTTTTCATTGCTGCTGTAAAGTAATCTCTATTAGTACCATATATAATTATTTGCATGAATAGTTTTGGTTTATGCCCATAACTCCTATAATTAACAGTCCTTTCTTTTAAAAAGTTTTCTAGTTAGACAATAAATTATATATACCTTTTCCAATTCATTAATCTGCAAAACAATGAGAAACTTCATTTTATTGATTGTTCAGTAAACCACTGGATGGCAGTAGAATTCAGTTCATTGAAATTTTTTACTCTTCTATGAAAATGGTATATTAATTCAGATTTTCACAGTATACTTAGTGATAACTACCAGGAAGTCCAATATGTGCTGATTATCAACTGTGTTTTCTGAAATGAGGCTTAAGTAAATTGTGAGTCCTTGGAAAATATCACCCAAGCCTTAAGACGTTCTTACCACCGGGGTATCATTTGTACATGTCGAACAGCCAGGCTGTTTTGGAGTTTTCCCAAATTATTTTATTGGGGGCTCGTACAGCTCTAATCACAATCCATACATCCATCCATTGTGTCAAGCACATTTGTACATTTGTTGCCATCACCACTTTCAAAACATTTTCTTTCTACTTGAGCCCTTGGTATCAGCTCTGTTTTTCCTCTCCGCCTCCTTCCCTCAAGAACCCTTGGTTATTTGTAATTTTTTCCCCTATGTTTTATACTGACTTATGTCTCCCTTAACCCACTTTTCTGTTGTACATCCCCCTGGGAGGGGGTTATATGTAGATCATTGTGATTGGTTCCCCCTTTCTCCTCCCAATTTCCCCTTCCCCTCCTGGTATGGCTACTCTAATTATTGGTCCTCAGGAGTTTATCTGTCCTGGATTCCCTGTGTTTCCAAACTCATTTGTACCAGTGCACCTGCTCTGGTCTAGCCGGATTTGTAAGGTAGAATTGGGATCATGATTTGGGGGGTGGGGGGGGTTAAAGGAACTAAAGGAAAATTGTATGCTTGTATGTTTCATCAGTGCTATACTGCATCCTGACTGGCTTGATTCTTCCTTGTGACCCTTCTATAAGGGGATGTCCCAGTTGTCTACAGATGGGCTTTGGGTCTCCCTCTGCACTCCCCTTCATTCACATTGATAATGATATTTTGTTCTGCGTCTTTGATGCCTGATACCTCATCCCATTGACACCTCATGATCACACAGGCTGATGTGCTTCTTCCATGAGGACTTTGTTGCTAGATGGCCACTTGTTTATCTTCAAGCCTTTAAGACCCCAGATGCTATTTTGATAGCTGGGCACCATCAACTTTCTTCACCACATTTGCTTATGCACCCACTTTGTCTTCTTCGATCGTGTCAGAGAAGGTGAGCATCACAGAGTGCCGGGTTATTAGAACAAAGTGTTCTTGTGTTGAGGGAGTACTTGAGTAGAGGCCCAATGTCCATCTGCTACCTTAATACATAGCATATAAGTATATGGACATAGATCTATTTCCTTACCATTATATATAAATATATTTACCGTTATATATAAATATATTTACATATATACATGCCTATATTTAGACCTCTGTAAATGTCCTTGCCTCCTAGTTCTTTACTCTATTTCCTTTTACTTTCCTTTTGTCCCATTATCATATTCAGCCTTCATTTGGGTTTCTTAATTCCTCTCAGCTACATTGCTCATGATCAAGCCCCATCAGGCATCTTATATCCTCCTCACCATCGATTTTAGATCACTTATTCCCTCGTCCCTGGGTTGGTTGACACCCCCCTTTCTTTCCCCTGCCTCCTCTCCCATGTCACCCCAGAACCGTTGGTCCTGTTGTTTTTTCTCAGGATTGTTTATCCCACCTATCTTATCTAGATAGACATGCAGAGACAATAATAAGCAGAAAAACAATACATAGCAAAACAAAACAACAACAAAAAGTCAAAAAATCAACAACAACAAGGGAAAGCCTATAAATAGTTGCAGGTCTGTTTGTTGACCTTCAGGAGTGTTTTCTGGTCGAGTCTGATGAGGTGCCATGCTCTGGCCCCAAAGTCTATTTTTGATATTCCCTGGGGACTTCATTGCTTTACTCCCTTGCTGCTCTGTTGCATACCCTTAGTGTTTCGCCTCGGTGTGATTGGGTTGGATCGGGCACAGTTCCCTCACTGTGTCTCCAATGTTGTCCCCTGTAGCGCTATTGGTCAATGAGGAAAGTCATATCTCGTGGAGCCGGCCCTTTGGTCCTCTCTCTGCATTGGCTGCTCTGAGAAGGAATATCATCCTTGGGCTTTGGTGGGCCAGGATGTGTTCCACTCTCTTCTTCCCTCATCATTTGCTCCTGTGCTCTGATCAGACGCAAACCTCTCCCTGAGCTGTAGCTTCAGTACTGTCCTCTGAAATGCATTCTTCTAGGGGAGGAGTAGGGGTTGTCCACAGAGTTGGGGTTGGGGCCAGCCCCTCAGGCCTCTCTGTTGGTTCCCTGCTTCATGCCAGTATGTTACATTTACGTCTTGGCGCACCAGGTTAAAGTCTGGTCCCTCTCTTCCTCTCCTGTGGAAATATAAACAATACTTTCCCCTTGATTGTGTTAGCACCCTGTGCCCCCGCTCCCCATGTCTTTCTTTTCTCCTACATTTAAGTTGGCCGCCACATGTATCCCTGCATTGGGTCTGGCCCCTGCCATAGTACCTGAGCCAGGCTGTTTCACATCAGTTTCTGAATGATACAAGTCTAAGAGGATTGGGAGCTCTTATTTATTATCATCTTAATCAAGTGGTAGGATGAAACATGCATTTATTACTATTTAATAATATATTATAAATTATGTATATAGGGAATTGCTTTTGAATAAAACTGGTAATAATATGACTTTATGTTGAACAGAATCTAAATGGGAGAAGCCTGATGATTTTATTCCACACCCTGGCAATCTGCTTTCTAGTAAGAGCAATGAAAAGGCAGTTGGAATCCAAGAAGAATCTAAACCATTAGATTCACATAGTGATTCGGATGAAGAACAGAAAGTAGAAGGAGATGTTGCTACCAAAACACAAAAGCTGATTATAAAATTTAAGGTGAGTTCTTGATTTTATTCTTCATATAAAAGTTCATCGATTTGTAAAATAGCTTTGCAGATTTTTTTCAGTCTTCTGGTAGATGACAGAAATGTAAAGGCAAGGTATATATTTTGGTTATTACCATAAAGTGAAACTTACTTGGGAGCAAAACATTAAATTAACTTTTAAAGTCCCTAAGCTTAAGATGTCTATATAACCTTCAGGAATCCTGGTTTCGTAATGGTTACGTTTGGGGCCGTGATCAGCAAATGCAGCAGTTTGAAACCACCACAGGGAAAGATGGTGCTTTTTACTCCTGTATATAGCCACAGTCCTGCAAACTCAAAAAAACAGTTCTACCTTGTCAGCATTGACTTGATGGAATGAGTTTGGTTTGGTTGATATAACCTTCGAAGAAAGCAGTATCTGAACAGGCAAGTCTGAATATCTAGGCGAGGAATACTATTTTGAGTGCCATCAGCACATTGGTAGTTATGCAAATATAGAATAGATGAGATTATTGAGAAATGCAAACATTTATGTGATCGTCTGAGAAAGAGGAGCTCACGAGTAGAGGAGGGAGAGTGATCTGGAAGATATGTGGAGAAGCATAATTGACTGTCCCAGAAACCTAAACAATAGGGACCATCAACGATTAATTACATGAGTTGGGCATGTGCAGTCCTTTGAATCTGGCAGTTTGGAAATCCTTAATGCTCTTCTAGAAATTTTGAATGGCAGAACTTTGACATTAAATGGAAACTAGAGAGAGAGTAGGTGTTAGAATTGTGGTTGGATGTTGATTCTCGGTCATAAGAGCTCAGTGGTAGTGTTTTCATCAAGAAGGATTTGAGCTTGCCTGTAGATTAAAGGGATCGGAAACGATAGAGATAAAGCTGGTAAAGGTAATAGGGAAAGTGGATATGACTAATAAAGTGAGAAGTCGGAAAAGGTAAAACGGACATACAGGTGAATGGGTTAGCCTAAGATAAGGCAACTCTAGACAGTAAGGATAAATATGACTATGAGTTAACTAGGTATCTTGGAGGAAATTGAGAGATTAAAAAAATACAGACAGTAAAGACAAACTACTTATAGTCCTGCTATCCCCCTCTCCTTGTAAAATCATTATAAATACAGAAGTGTTTATTGGTCCATACTCTTTCTATTCTGATGTATGTACACATTACTTAAACAGTATGGAATCGCTCTATAATAAGATTATACAAGTGTTTTTACAACTTTATTAGAGTCAACGTTGCACATCTAAATCTTCATCTACCAAACGATGACTATGTGGTGTTCCACAGTAGAGGAAATGTCATTATATAATCTCAACACTGCTGAATATTTGTTTTAAACACCTACTAAAGGGAATAAAACTAGCTGGTGACATAATGCTAAGTGTGAAAGTCTGCTGAAATTGGCTAGCATAAATTTTGAAGTCTCATACGTTCGTATAGCTGTTTTAGGGTTTTTGGTTTGTTTTTGACACTTGGCAAATCAAGTTTAAGAACAAAAAGATAAAATGATTGGATAGCTTTGTGATAGCTTCTTTAGGGCCTATGAAAGTATTCCCTGTGGTTTAGTACTGTAAAGAATGGAAAGTCTAGCAACAAACTCAAAATGCAAGAAGTGAAGGTTTCAGTAGCATGCTAATGAGGCTTTAAACAGGTGATATGGTAAAAGTATGGGAGCCCAAACACCAAGGAATGAGAACTACTATATTGAAAGAGCAGCTTTTTGAGATTTCAAGGGAACAAATTTCTGAGTGATGACATGATTCACATTAAAAGAGGGACAGTGTAAGGATTCCATAAATAAATATTTTACCTCTGCACTCAACAAGATGGATTGCCACAGTGACTGCAGTAACGGGCTCCCACATAACAAGTGAAGAATAGTACAGGACTAGGTAGGGTCTTGACCTTCTGTTGTACTGGGATTGCTCTGAGTCAGAACCACCTCATTGGCAAATACTAACCACCACCTATGCACTAGATGCTACATATGAGGAAAGATATATAACATGTAGGTGATTGAAACACCTTAAAGGCCAAAAGTCACTGTTGAGGCTCACAAAACTCCCCAAGGTGATGAGTGTAAATGGAGAGAAAGGGTGCCAGAGTTGCTAAAGTCATCAGTGAATATGGAATGGCAGCCAGAAATGATTAGCTCTTAGAAGGAGGGTGGCATGGAAATTCTAGAAGCCTCAGAGGAAAGGCTTTTATTACATGATGAACAAAGTTTTTAAGTAACCTGACCAATTAATTGTACCTTAAAAAGAGTTTTGGCTTGGAACCAGTCAGGATTGCTAAAAGATGACAGTAGGTTGGTGCCTGCTAGGCCTCTGATACTCATAGCATGAGAGGATGAGTTCATGTCTACTAAAAGTGATGCTGAGGACACTGTCCTCGGGCTGCCACCCACCCAGCTGTAAAAGACTAAAATCCAGTGCCTGGTCCACTTGCTAAACTGAGAAACAGGGTGCCACAAAAAGCCAACTTTCACCCAGCCTACCTTGGAGGCTATTTCCGCCCCAGTTCAAACCCTATCAGTTGTATAAGGCTGGTGAGGTCCCAGTGGTGTCCTCGAGGTAAAAACAGACTTCACTTAAGACTCATCAATGAGTACAGAAGAGACGAATAAGATGGCATCGATTTCACGGGCACAGCAGAAAGCTAAGCGGGAGAAGAATGTCCTTAATCTTACACTAACAGGATCAGGTGTTATTGTAAAGAACAGCCTTGGCCATGGTGTATTAGCATTTTAGACAATGGAAAAAATTTAGTAAGCATTAATGTTCTTTCTATTTTTTTGAAATCATTTTATTGGGGACTCGTACTCTTAACACAATCCATACATATATCGATAGTGTGAAACACATTTGTACATTTGTTGCCATCACTTTCAAAACTTTTACTTGAGCCCTTGGAATCAGCTTCTCATTTCTCCCCTCCCTCCCCACCTCAGGAACCCTCGATAATTTATAAATTATTATTATTTGTTTATGGTTTACACTGATTGGTGTCTCCCTTCACCCACATTAAAGTTCTTTCGTATACATTTATAGTGTGGGTACAAATCTAAACTATTCATTTAATTGATGCTTCACTACTTAAGAATTAATAACAAAACTTTAAAAACTCTTATATTAAAAATATTTTGTTCTTAATTTTGCTTAAAGTGTGTTATTTCTTGACTTTATAATTCAGGAAAAAAACAAAAATAGTAATGAAGGAATTAAATCAGAACCACCAAAAGAAAAAATTGTACAAGAAAAGGATTCATCAGGTCCAAAGGAAGAAAAGCCCAAAATGGTTAAGAAATCAAATCCCTATGGGGAATGGCAAGAAATTAAACAAGAAGTAGAGTCACCGTAAGTACCTGAAATTTATGCCACTTGTTTTTTTATAAGTCTTACATCCCATTGCTTGCTTAAATTACTGTAATGAGCTTCGTGAATACCAGTGTGGTTTTGTTTTAATAAGTATATTTTTTAAATAAGGTAATGATTACTTTAAAAAGTAAGCTAAAAAACTAAAAATTAAGCTAATAGCTATTTCATTACTATTGATCATATATTCACATATTCCTTATACCAGGCACACATGTTCTCTCTAGCACAAACATCTGTGTATTCAGTAAATACTTTATGGGGTAAATCTAAAGTGAAAAAAAAGAGCTCTTAGTCAATCACAAAAAGACAAGAGATTACGAGATTATTACTGTAAGTGCAAAAGTCAACACAGAGAATTGCATACGAAAGGGAACAGACTTTGTAGCTTCCTGAAAGAGGGAGGGCAAGAGTGGGAAGATGAAGCAACAGACTAGAAGGTTGACAGGTATTGATTTGGGTGAAAGGGGCTGGAGGTCCATAGGAGGAAGAAAGGGAACGGGAGGGGGTCAGGATAGGTTGCAGGGGTGTGGGATAATGAGTGGTTTGAACCATTAGATAGAGTTAACAATCTGACATGTAAACCGCCCCCAATTCACAAAAAATTCATGAAAAAAGAAAAGAACTCTTTACCATCTTATCCCATACTTTTAAGATAATTCGATTGAACAGTATATATTTAGTGAATTTTAGGTCTTAGTAAAGAACAAAAACCAAATCTTTAACCTGCAGTTATTAACATCTAGGTCATTGGAAATCAATATGCTTTTATTGTTAGTTTTGTTGTAATAAGCATGTATATATTTCATGCTCCAGTACTCTTTCACTTAATGACACATACCATATATACTCGTGTATAAGCCAAGTTTTTCAGCACATTTTTTATTGCAGTTTTTGTGGTAAAATTAGGTGCCTCGGCTAATATTCGGGTTGGCTTATACTTTAATATATACGGTAGTTTAGTATAGAGTGTGATGGATCCTGGGACTTAATGAGTTATCTGGGTATTGGACCCTTCTCTTTGAGCTCTGCATTGCTATGGGTTGACCCCTTAGAGCAGCAGTTCTCAGCCTATGGGTTGCAACCCCCTTGGGGGTCAAACGACCCTTTCACAGGGGTCGCCTGATTTATAACAGTAGCAAAATTACAGTTATGAAGTAGCAACAAAAATAATTTTATGGTTGGGGTCACCACAACATGAGGAACTGTATTAAAGGGTTGCAACATTAGGAAGGTTGAAAACCACTGCCATAGAGAGTTTTCTTATGTAGTGGCAAAGCTTTTAGACTTATACCAGCAAAGTTTATAACAGCAGCCAAAAAGGTGATTCTTTACCAACAAATTCCCAGAGTGGTCCTCCATAGCTTATATCCCATACCCAGTTTCCGTTCCTGAATGAACCACTATGGCTTTTTCCCCCCCATCATTTTATTGGGAGCTCGTACAGATGTCATCATGTTCCATAATTCAAATAAATCAAGCACAATTGTATAATTGCTACTATAAAAACATTTTCTTCTTGAAATCTTTGATATCAGTTCCCCTTTATTCCCTCCTCCCACCCTTTCCCCCAGGAACTCTGTTGTTATTCATATATATATATGCCATATCTTACCCCATCCAATATGTCCATTCACCTTCAATTCTGTTATTCACTCTCCTCGTGTGGGGTTTTACAATCATCGTTATCAGCATCCCCCCCACCCCCTTTATCCTCAGGGAATGGGAATCATTGCTATTTCTGAAGGGTCATCCATTTTGGCATTCTTGCATCGAACAATCTTAATTATACACATATATGAACATATGTAGGTCTAATAGTATTAATGAGATGAAACATAAAATCTTAATAGTAAGAGTAGGAAACATTAAAGAACCAGAGGATAGTTATGTGTTCATTAGTGCTATACCACACCCTGAATTCACACACGCACGCACACACACATCGTGCAGACCCTCTGTGAGGGGCTGTCCAATTGTCTTACAGGTGGGTTTGGCTCTCCATTTTGTCCACACTCCTTCACCTCAATTTGATTGCTTGTTTTTGAACTTTTGATTTCTATTCCCATCAGCATCTCATGATCACACAGGCTGGTGTGCTTCTTCCATGAGGGCTTTGTTGCTTCCCTGCTCGATGGCTGCTTGTTTGACTACAAGCCTTTAAGACCTCAGATGCTATCTTTTTTAATAGCTGGGCACTATCACATTTGCTTGTGCATCCATTTTGTCTAGGTGGGAAAGAGTATCATACAGTGCCACATTATTAGAAAAAAAGTTCTTGTACTTAGGTAAAATTTTAGTAAAGGCCCAAAGTCCATCTGCTTCCTTATTGTATTTACATATATGTGCATGTATAGACAAATACACCTATATTTATAGAATTATATATTTACATATATATATTTATACCTGTATATGTGAACTCTACCACTATGACTTTTTGGTGGACATGAACTGAACTCAAGACTGGGAATGGTGGAGAGATGATTCCCAAAAGAACCAGGGGATAATTCTAGTGCTAATAATAGAAAAGGGAGATGAGATGTTGGGCAGACCAAAATACAAATAAATGTTTTCATTCTAAGAGCCTAGTGCAATGTCAGATGTGATGTAGCTTTTCTTCAGACTTTATCTAGCATCTAGGAAATAAGCCTTGTCTCCCCTTTTCCTGGAAATCAAGGTAAGTGAGACCATTACCTAGGCTCTTCGAAATTGAGGGATGTACCCCTTACAGAATGGTCACAAGGAAGAGACAAGCCAGTTGGGGTGCAGTATAGCACTGATGAAACATGCAACTTTCCTCTAGTTCTTTAATGCTACTCTCCCACCCCCCAACTATCATGATCCCAGTTCTACCTTACAAATCTGGCTAGCCCAGAGCATGTACACGGTACGTACATTCCCTGGAAACACAGGGAATCCAGGACAGATAACCCCTCAGGACCAATAATGAGAGTAGAGATACCAGGAGGGTTAGGGGAAAGTGAGGGGAGAAAGGGGCAACCAATCATAAGGATCTACATAAAATCCCCTCCTTGGGGGACAGACAACAGAAAGGTGGATGAAGGGAGACATCGGTCAGTCTAAGACATGAAAATATCATAACAGTTTATAAATTTTCAAGGTTTCTATAAAGAAATAGCCAGAGAGGGAGAGACATTTATTTCAAGGGATTGGCTAATACAGTTATGAGGACGGAAGTCTCAAATCCAAAAGTCAGGCAATAGGCAAGAGACATCTGCTGGATCACAGAATTGTGGGGAGCTGAAAAGCCCACATCCATAAATCAGATGGCAGACTGAAAACTTCTACAGGCTTGCTGTATCTGTGAGTCAGGCAACTGGAAGAATACAAAATCAAGAAAAAATGTCCTGACAGAATATATATTTATAGTCTAAAGATAGACAACACTCTAAAAAACTCCCTTTCAACTGATTGATTATGTACATTATGGAATAGCAGCTAGTCTAGTATTTGCTAAACCACTGAGTTAACACAAGTTAACACACACAAATAACCATAACTATAACCTTTTGAATGATGGGTTGGTTCTTAGGGGTGCTATGCAAACAGTCACATGAAGTATATCACAGTAGGACATTGAGATTCTATGGTTTTCATATGTGTTATATAAAGCCTCAGAGTCCTTGTCAATCCATGGCACAACCAGTTTCCATAATACCTCTCTTACCTACCTGTTTATTTATCTGTATACACTGCTGATCTATATATAAATCAGTACAAACATTTGCTTAAAGGATGTGCATTTTGTGCAACAGGAATAATATAGATGGGGCTTTTCATGACATGTTTTAAACAATATTGTAACATTATCTATATTTTAGAATAGTTTCTTACTCTAAAATGACCGTCTTCTAACTACTCACTGTTACTAGAATGAGAAAGGGAACCTTTGGAGCTCGCTAGGCTCACAGGTTATATATATTTTTTCAAAGTTTCTGCCTCACTCTGATCAACTGATTTTCATTTGCTGTTCCAGAGAGGAAGTTGATTTGGAACTTCCAAGCACCGATGAGTATCTGTCAACTTCAGTACCTGGTGGTGGTGGAGAATGCAGAGTGGTATTTAAAGAAAAGACTGTCACATCTCTTGGAGGGGTAGCAGATGGACTGGCCCCGGTCTTCAAAAAGAGAAGAATTGAAAACGGAAAATGTAGAAATTTAAGACAACGAGGTGATGATCAGTAATTCTAAGACAGATTTTTGGACAAAATAGAGACTATATCATAAGCCCCTTTGTGATTGTTTCTAAGTGCTTTGAAGCAAAAAATTTAGATTTATTCTAAATTGTACTTGATGTGAATGATAATAAATTTTTTTCATGTGAAATGTATTTTTGTTCCTCAAATGGAAGTCTACCACATTGTATTGTAATACAGTGTATTATAGTCAGTGTCTAAAAATTGCTAATTATGTCATAACTTAAGATGCTATGTATCTGTTATTTAAAATATGGAAAAGATAAGCATTTATTTCATTCTTATTCATATGAACATGTTTATTCTGTCCTGGGTAACATGTCTTCTCTTTACACACAGCTAATAACTGTTATCCAAGGAATAGATACCAAACTGCTACATAAGACTGAAAACCCTGTAATGATTTTTTTTTGAGGATCCTATCAGAAGACTGATGCAGAGAAAATGTACATACTGCCGTGCTAGTGAGCCTATTCTAACTCTTAGGAACCTCATGCGACAGAATAGAACTGCTCCTCTGGGGCTTCTAGGCTCTTATGGGGAAAGGGGTGGCCAAGAATGCCTGATCTTTCCTCCCCTGGAGCTACTGGCCAACCTTCCATTTAGCACACAAGCGCTTAGCCATTCTGCCACAGGCTCCTTGTGCATTGCCACATCATGTTCGATTTAAGGTCTAGACCCAAGAACAAGGACAGCAGCTCAGATACTTAATATGTAGTTCTTAATGTGGAATGAAACTTGACCAAAGATAAAAATGTATATAAAATACCCCATTTCGGGGGAAAAGAACAACCGTTGCTTAAGCATTTTACTTTGAGCCGGGAACTGGAGATAGAAAGATGAATGAGATCTATCTCTGGTCTTCAGGATTTCACATTTAGCCTAGTCTCCTTTCTCGGTACCACTCTGGTACTCTATTTAGCAGACTTAAATGTATGGGATTTTTTTTCCAATATTTTATTTTTAGGTGAAACTTTTACACCTACTATTAAGTAGGTTCCTACTTAATAAATTTACATAAACTGTTTCATGATTTTATCAGAATGTTCTCAATATATCAGCAATCTTGTTATTTCCTGCCTGCTTGTGGGTAAGAATTGACCACTTGGTCTCATACAGCAATTGTTTAAAAGACACATAACTCATAGTGATATTGTCTATTTTATAATTCAGTCTTGTTTGGCTGAAATGAGACCTCCAGGAATTGGGCATTTTGGGTTTTAAGGTCTATTTAAAACTATGTAAATAGTCTTGAACAAAAATACTCTCCCCTTCATTCCGTTAGAAAAAAGAAAGAAAATGGTGTTCCCTTGACAAACTGAGTTCCATGATGCTAGTTCCTATTTTCTGGTCAAAGTGGAATTTTCTTTAATTCATTTAAAGTACAATATCCCTTTGTTGTTCCTTTAAATTCTCAAATTTTTAAATTATATTTTTAATGAATTGTACAGTATTTAACTTTTGGCAGTAACTATTTGTCTTTTTAAGACTACTAATGTACTTGTAAGAAAATGATAGCTTAGTAAAAACTTCGTAAAAGTAAATTAAGTATTGTGGTTTTTGTTTTTTTTTCTTTAGGTGAGATGATATTTGCAGATATGTATTTATATTTGTTGGATTTTCTTCATGCATTTTGTGAATGTAAAACATGGAGATGTACATTAGAATTCCTTTAGTCATCTAGCTAAGCAATACATTTTGGTCATTGTTTGAAACTTAAAACTATCTCCTTAAAAAAAAAAAAAGATCTTAATGTATGAAATAACATTCTCAAAAGTCGCAGTGTAAATCTGAATCTGGTTTTAAGGATTGCTTACAAAAAACAATGTTGGTTAACAACCACAAAATTTTAAATTGCGTATTAAAAAATAGGATTTCCTGGGTTTGAAAAAAAAGTACAGAACATACCACCTTTAACCTACCCTGGTTTTTATTCTGAAGTATTTGTTTATAATCATTTTTATTACATATCAGTTTCCTTAAATAATCCAGTGTCTGGTTAATTGATAAGCATACACAATGAACAAGTATAAAATAAGGATAAAACCCTACTGATTTTGAATTACTCAATATCCCTTTAAAAAATTACAATCATTACAATAGGAAATGACTACTTTAAAAACTGCCATCAAGTCAATACTGACTCAGTGAACTGGCTAGTAGTTTTGAACTGCTGATCTTGCAGATCACAGCCCAAGGCGTAATCAAACCAAAAAAATCCTGTCGTCTAGTTGATGCTCATAGTGACCTTAGAGGACAAGATAGAACTGTCCGTGTGACTTTGCAAGACTGTAACTGTTCATAGAGGTACAAATGCTTTCATTCTCTCAGGAGTGGCTGGTGGTTTCCATCCACAGACCTTGCAACCCAAGATGTAACCACCGTGCCACCATGGCAAATGGACTGAAAGGAGACCCCAAAAACTACAGTGTGAAAAGAGAAAAATATGACTCATGTTTTGATAAGATAGCTTGGTACTGTATATATAATTGTGGTAGTCACCTAATCTGGTGTCAATTTAAGGATTAAGAGTGTAGGGGTCGAGTCTAGGCTGTCAATCTGGAGGTAGCCAATGAGACTTCTGTGGGCATGGTCTTCTGAGAATCCTGGGAAATCTGGCACTTCCTCCTTGGAGGCAGATGACACCTGTCTTTCAGTTCACTCCCTGGGAGACATTGCAGCTGACAAGAACTCTGAAGCTGGAAGAGCCACATAGAGACCCCTGCCAGCGCTGAGATGCTTACAACACCACTGGATCCAAAGACTTTCTACCTACTGACCTGTGATTATTCTGCATTTGGCATCATTGAATGTGTTTCGTGAATCTGAAGACCTTATGGATTGCTGTTAGACAGATGGGCTAATGTCGGACTTATGGACTTGATATGGGCTGGGCTGGGATGTTTTCTCAATGTTCAATGGCTCTTGTATATAAATCTCTTTCTTATACACATAAGGGTGTACATGGACTTGTTTCTCTAGTTTATCTAGACTAACACAATTATAGACCAATAGAATAGACTTGACAGCCAGAAAAACTCATGTCTATGATCAATGGACTTTTGAAAAGACTTCTAAGTCCAGTGGATGGGTGAAGAAATAATGGGGAGGCCCACTTGACCTCTGCCTTCAGTCGGGGAGAATCCAACTCCATCTGCCCTAGCCTGTTTTCCACCCGGCAGAGATCAGATGTGCCTACCCTCCATCCCTTTTACTATATTCTGAAGCCAACTGGCCCTCCCACTGCACTTCTGTGCACTGGCCACACAATGCACAGGTGATAGAATTATGGGGGTTTATTAGGGAAAGTAACAGTTTACCTCCAGTCAGTATCATAAAATATGAAGGTTACAGTCGTTGGTCCATAGCAGCACTTCTCAGGCAGTAGATGCTTCTCTCTGTGGTCCTCAACCATGTGTTCCCTCGTCTGTCCCCATGTACCAGGAAGCCCCTCTGCTAATCTGCTTTGTCTTGGTTTTGCCATGACCTCTGGGGCCTGCACCAATTCAAGTAGGCATCATGCAGGTGTTGCAGGTGACACTTCTTTCTTGATGGTGACAGGAATTTCTTCCTGCTTAGAAGAGATGGCAAACTGACCAATTCCTAAATTATAGTCCGATATACTTGATTTGCATGATTTGCAGTGACTGGGTGGGAATTACAATTCCTATAGCTAGATGAGTCATACCAAGTAATTTCACTTCACTGCAATGGGGAAAGGGTTTCTTCAATAAATGATGCTGGGAAAACTGAAGCTTCACATGCAAAAAACATGAAATAGGATCTATGCCTTAACCAGGTAACAAAAACTCAAGCAAAAACATACATGTAAAATTAACCATAAAATTCCCTTTAAAAATTCAGGGCAATGTTGTTAAAACTAACTTTTAACAAAAAACATAAAAGGCAAGCTACAAACTGGGGAGATCTCTTTGGAAATCACATTTATTAAGGATCTAATAACTCCATATAACTAAAACTACAATTTCACAATAAAGACATTTCACCAAAGGACATTCAAATGGCCACAAAACATGAAAAGATATTTCAAGTCATCCATCTGAGATGCAGATTAAAAACCATAATGAGATACCACTTCACTCCCAGTAGGATCCCTACCACCACTTATCTCTGTTACTATGGTACCTTCTATGATGCTGGATGCTATGTCACCAGAATTTCAAATACCAGCAGCGTCACCCAGGGGGAACCGGTTTCAGTGGAACGTTCAGACAAAGCACTACTAAGAAGAAAGTATGGAAGCCTCACACTTGAGTTTCAGAACCTATTACACAGCCATGCTCATAACAACAGCCTGGTACAATGACAAACATGGGAACCAGTGGAGTAGGATTTAGAACCCATGCATAAATTCACCCATCTATGGTCAATCGATCTTTCACAAAGGGCCCCAAAGACATTAAATATGGGAAAGATACCATCTTTAACAAATTGTTACCTGGAAACAGGGTTCATGCCTTGTTTTGGTTGAGCTTAACTAATAACCTAATCATTTCTTAGAGGTGCTCAAGGACCCATCATGCTGCATCTCTGGTCATAGAGGACACGGTAGTGGCTGCCTACTTGCAAACCGCCAGCCTTTTCTCTGTCCTGGGCCTCGCTCAGCGCCCCCTAGCTGGTCCTGCAGGTTGGCCAGCACCAGCACTCTCCTCCACCCCTGGTGGTCAAGGTTCCACTGATTCAGAGGAGCTCTGCTTTGGCCTCATCCAGGCACACAGCATCAGCTGTGCCCACTACAAACATCAGCCAGTCTGGCCACAATGGCCACAGCTTCTCTTGCCCTACCTCTATGGCCTGCACTAGGAAGGTGAAGCCACAAGGCTCACCCCCTACCCGCTATCCCTCACCCCCATTCTTAGTTTAAGTCTTGGGTAAAGACAGTGCAGCAAACAACACCTTGAACCTGAAGGATGAGAAAAGCCTGGAGGAGCCCCCTACGTCCCCAGGCACTCAGGTGGGGGCTCTCAGCGTGAAATGCAGACACCACGGCTTCCAATTTCCCAGTCAGGAATCCTAAACAGAAGAAGGAATTCGGGCAGCATCTCTTCACAAATGAAGGATTAGAGTGGAGAAACCAAGACCTGAGGCCTCTCTCCTGTCCTCTACACCCCTCACCCCACAGTGAGCCCTTCACCACCACACCGCCTGCCTGCATTTGGCTACAATCAATTTCCTTGCCCACCCAACCAGGACCCTTGAGAATTTTTTGAAATTATGAATCACTGTGGTTTTTCCAAATGCTTTTAATGAGTCTATTGAGATAATTAAAATTTTCTTTTTTAGACTATTAGTCAGATGGATCACATTAGTGAATTCTTGAACATGCCATCAGCCTTGCATACCTGGAATAAATCCTAATTAGTCATGATATAAAATTCTGTTCTATACATTGTTAGATTCAATTTGCTAAAATTTTATTGAAGATTTTTGCATCTATACTTATGTGAGATATTAGTCTGTCATTTTCTTTTCTTTGACTGTCACTTGGTTTTAATGCTGTCATCAGAATGAGAAAATGTCCCCTCTTCAGTGTTCAAAAGAGATTGCAGAGGAGCTAACAATACTGAAAGAAGAAAATGTTCTCAAATGTATTGTGGGGGTGATTGCACAACTCTTCTTAACATGATTGAACTATCGAATTGCAAGATGTGAGTTATGTGACAATAAAACTTTTTAAATAATAAAGCAGAAAGCAGCATAAATAACAAGAGTTTTCAGAGAAATGGTATTATTTCTTCTTTACCTGTTCAGTAGAATTCGCCAGTGAAACCATCTTGCTGGATACTTTCCTTTTGGTAGAGCTATTATTGATACTATCTCTTTTCTTTTTTTTTTTTTTCCTTTTTTTTTTTTAACATTTTATTGGGGGCTCATACAACTGTTATCCCAATCCATACCCACATCAATTGTGTAAAGCGCATTTGTACATCATTTCTCAAAACATTTTCTCTCCACTTAAACCCCCGACATTAGGTCCTCATTTTCCCCCTCCCTCCCTGCTCCCCCCTCCCTCATGAGCCCTTGATAGTTTATAAATGGGCATTTTGTCATATCTTGCCCTGTCCGACGTCTCCCTTCACCCACTTTTTGGTTGTCTGTCCCCCAGGGAGGAGGTCACACACAGTTCCATGTAATCGGTTCCCTCTTTCCTACCCATTCTCCCTTTGATACCATCTCTTTTCATAGATAACGGCCTACCCAGATTGTCTGTTTCCCCTTGTGTGAGTTTTGGTACTTTGTGTATTTAAAGGAATTGCTTCCCTTATTTATTTATTTATTTATTTACATACACACACACACACAAGGACAAACTTCCCTGAGGGGTGATTAGGATCAGTCTTCCCTAGCTTCCAGTCCAACTGAAGCTGTTGTGTGCTAGTCAGCAGGAGTCTGGAGTGGAGTCTGCACTCCCAGCCAATAATCAAGGTGTAGGGGAGGGGACACTGAGAGCCACCTTGCAGCACTCCGTGGCGATTTGACTAAAAGACCTCACACTTGCCCTCACCTGCTAACTGTTGGTTGCCAAGCTTTTGCAAACATGCTATGGAAGATTCCCTATGGAGCAGTCAGGATCTTGGTCACCTAAGTGGAGACTAATCTCCCAACCACCACAGGGCCACTGCAGCTCTGAAACCAACAAGACAGATCTCTCAGAGGTCCTTCGGAGGTGTGCCAGCCTGTGCTTCTCCTGAAATGAAGACAAAGCTAGCTTTGCTTCCCTGAATTCCAGCTGGGATATAAGTAAACCCCCACAGAACAGAAAAGAAGCCTCATGCAAAACCGAAAGTTAATG